GACTTATGCTTTGTCAGAACAGATTTATGCTTTAATACTGAAATTAGGGTTTCTTTGCTAAAATCAGATTAACCTTACACTGATACCATTAAGCATGAAATACATAAAGACTCTTCCAATCATAATAGCGGTACCAATTCAAGCCCCCACCTTCTCTGCATTTAAACAAGCCAGCAAAAAGGGACACAACAACGTATCTCAAGTCACGCACACACTTTAAGGTTGACAGTGTTTAGGCTCATAACCATCGTTTTATCATGCCCGCATTCTCTCCACCAATCTGTAGCGAATCAGCTCATGGAGTCACTTAATCATGCAGATTTATGCTACAGGCTCTGTGTAGAGTTGTACAGTAAGAAAGTTATTTCCCTTAACCAGGAAATTAACGTTCTTAGAATTGACAGGCAGTTGACCCTGAGAGGACAGCTAAATATCTACAGCGGATCTAAATATTTATAATTAATTATAACTAGTTATGATTAATTATTCATATTTCCCCATGAGCTGATTCGCTACACTGTAATTTTTAAACTGTAATAATAATTAGCATTATTACGGTTTTTACTGTATTAATGATTATACCATACTTTTGATCAAATAAATGCAGCCAGCAAAAGATACTTCTTATAAACTTACACAAATGTTAAGTAAAATGCCTCTATATCATTGTTTTCCCTAGTTTGAGTCAGTGTGGTTTAACCATGGCCTGCTGTGATTCACTGGCTGCAACTCTTGAAGAAAAATCCTCAAGTCTTAGAGAACTGAATTTAGGAGTAAATAATCTACAAGATCTGGGAATTGAAATCCTCTGTGCTGGACTGGAAAATCCACATTGTCAGCTGGACACTTTAGGGTAATGCTATATCTACAACATTCAAAGTTGCTTTCAGAGAAGTTTTGTTTATATGTCACTAATGTTTTTCTGTATAGGCTGTCTAACTGTGGGGTCACAGGGGAAGGTTGCACAATTTTAGCCTCTGCACTGAGATCTAAGTACTCACTTTTAAGGGAGCTGGACCTGAGTGAAAACAATCTTACAGATTCAGCCGTGAGGCCACTATCGGTCTTGCTAGATGATCCAGACTGTAAACTAGAGAAGCTTATGTAAGTAGTTCCTGTTGTGATATTTGCAGTAGTCTTACAAAACACTCAAATTGTATATTTGCATGTGTTGAGCTTTATGTAATAATGTGTTTGATAAACCTTTTCTTTTGTCTTTCCAGCTTGTATTAAAATCAGGCCCGTTTGTACCACAGCACACATCAACATTTGATGAAAGTGTAGCAGAATGCTGCCATACCTTACCACTGATGACTGCACTTCTTCATGTTGGTAATTTATATGATGCTTTCATATGATGTTTTATTTTTACATTTATATTACACTATTATATTCTAGTATGAATTACTGAGCAGATAATTAAATTGCACTGCAATAGTGTTGGTTGTACAAAGCCATGCTTTCCATTTGATACTAATATGTACTATGTACAGTTACAGTTGACTGATGCACTGCTGTTGTTTTCAAAAGATGGGCCAAGGTGTGCAATGCATGTTTTTTTTTTTAGAACTCATAAGAAAAGGCTCAGAACCTCTTAACTGTAAAGGTCATTAACACACTATTTCCACTGCACCATGCAAACACTGTGTCATTACAAGATGTAGCTCTAAAGCAATCAGGAAGGTTGTTTGCAAAAATTTAATTGGTTATGTAGTTTAAATTAATGCTATCTTTATTTTTTAATGTGGCAAGACATTTATAATGTAAAACCTTAAGTTACACACTGATTTTTATATGTATATTTATTTGTCATTCATTTATTTAGAAAATTTGTTTAAAATCATGTAAAACTTTTTTGTTTGTATCAATAAACCATAATACAACTTAAAGATGCAGTCCGTAAATTTTGCCTCTTTGTCGCCATCTCTGTTTGAAAACCTGGGATTGCAGCTGTGTGCGAATTATCTTTCTTGCGTGGGTTGTGCGGCTGCACGGCTCCAGCGCAGATGAATCTGTTTTGAGGTGTATGTGTGGCAGTCAGTCACCGCTCTGGTGTGGATATTTACTGTACTTCCCAATCACAGATTCTAGCCTACTTCTTGGAATATATTACCCAAATTTTCACCGGATATTGTCACCTGAACAAGTAACAAGTCTGCCACGTTTGTTCTGACCAACTGAGGAAAAAAGCATTAAAATTATTGTTAAACTTTATTCTCAAATTTTTAATGTACACAACATCAGCATTGCGTGTATAGTGTGTATCAGCCTGTGATTTCAGTTTCTGTACAGTCTAAACTCTAATTGTCATACCATTCAAATTTCATATTAAGAAATTCTTTTAACCCAAAAAGCAAATTATGCTCCCTTCGGACTGGTTGTCTTTAAAATACAGATCTTGTGGAACTGGAATATAATTTAATTTCATTCACATGCGTTTCATAAACACATAATCCTTTCTGGATTACAATCCGCCATAAAATGAATTATTCTAGCTGCTGTGAGAAAAGGCTATAAACGATCGGCCACCTGCGATAGCCTAGTAGCTGGGACAACTTCTTTATGTTTACAGATGTGACGTAATGACGCAGTGCCATGCTCGATTTCCCGCAAAAACCTACCTGTACTTCTCAAATTAGAAAACATTATTATAAGCTTACCGTTGTGAATCGGGCTAAAGTAAGGCGATAGTTTTGAACACTGGCTGGTCATGTACTTGCTCAAATATTGATTTCAGATCATTTTTAACCAAAAAAATAAAAGCTACAGACTGCAGCTTTAATTAAAAGAAAGTTATTTGGTGTGGGCATCTGTATTCACCTTTTTCAACATGAAAGCATATTTTGAACATATTCAACATATTTTGAACACTTAAATTTTACATAATGTCATCACAAAAATCAGTACCGACTTCTTCCTTCCAAACCTTTATTTTACACAAAACAGCATTAAACATTTAATCTGTCTTTCAGTTGTTTCCATTGTTAGATTGGACTCAAGATTTCCCCTTATAAGAAACCAAAATGGAAATATTTACAAGAAATCAGGAGGAGAGATGATACAACAGATAAACTTGACAGCAGAAACAGGAAATTTTGGATCCTGAGAGGGAGGAAAGACATGTTTTCATAAACATATATACATTTACAACATGAACTCAACATCTATCTATGTCAATACAGAGTTGTGACGTGGCGGAGATCTCACACATTTGCTCATAAATTGAACAACACCTTTGGTAGCTTGATACATAATCCTTTCTGGATTACAATCCGCCATAAAATTAATTATTCTAGCTGCTGTGAGAAAAGGCTATAAACGATCGGCCACCTGCGATAGCCTAGTAGCTGGGACAACTTCTTTATGTTTACAGATGTGACAAAATGACGCAGTGCCATGCTCGATTTCCCGCAAAAACCTACCCGTACTTCTCAAATTAGAAAACATTATTATAAGCTTACCGTTGTGAATCGGGCTAAAGTAAGGCGATAGTTTTGAACACTGGCTGGTCATGTACTTGCTCAAATATTGATTTCAGATCATTTTTAACCAAAAAAATAAAAGCTACAGACTGCAGCTTTAATTAAAAGAAAGTTATTTGGTGTGGGCATCTGTATTCACTCACCTTTTTCAACATGAAAGCATATTTTGAACATATTCTGAACACTTAAATTTTACATAATGTCATCACAAAAATCAGTACCGACTTCTTCCTTCCAAACCTTTATTTTACACAAAACAGCATTAAACATTTAATCTGTCTTTCAGTTGTTTCCATTGTTAGATTAGACTCAAGATTTCCCCTTATAAGAAACCAAAATGGAAATATTTACAAGAAATCAGGAGGAGAGATGATACAACAGATAAACTTGACAGCAGAAACAGGAAATTTTGGATCCTGAGAGGGAGGAAAGACATGTTTTCATAAACATATATACATTTACAACATGAACTCAACATCTATATGTCAATACAGAGTTGTGACGTGGCGGAGATCTGACACATTTGCTCATAAATTGAACAACACCTTTGGTAGCTTGATAAAGCACATTTGTCAGCTGCTTTATGCTCCAATAGTGGTGCAACTTTCTCTTCTAGGCTGATCTGTCTTAAAAATGTGGAGGTCCAAACTCAACCAGGAAAAGTCGGTGAAACTCAAGCTTTACCAGTAGAAGGTTTTAGTGAGGAAACTG